AACAAGAAGATGACCAGCAGACCGCCATTTCCAGAAACCGTTATGTTGGTAACTTAGCAGCTGACAGTCCTCAGCCCAGCAGAATACCTACACCACCACCGAATGCTCTATTAACCAAAAATCTAAACGCTGCAAATGCTTATTAGTATTTAATAAACTACGAACAGCAAGCGTCCTTATCTACTATCTATCTATCTAGTTGTGAAACCTACGCAAGAAAATTCAACATGTACTTCAGAAAATTATTTAGACGTAGTTGGCTAGTTGAGTGTTTAAAATATCCTTTGTATTTTACTATCGAAGAAGAAGAGAGCTTAAGTATGCGAATTAGCAACTCGGTAACAGAACTAAGTCGGTCGGTCAGCCGTCGCCGGCAACTCTTTATCACGCGGCAGTTAGTCAAGACGAGAAAAATAACCGAGCTGTCCTCCAACCGCTGATAACGCCACGCTTTTTTTGTCCCCAAACATTCGCTGTCAAGATAATACTCATTTATATTGAATTTAGCAGAAATGAAAGGAGGAAACAATAAAATGTTGAAAGATTTCTTTCTTTCTTTGTTCCTTTGTCAAAAACCTTTTATTTTGTAATTTATTTGGAGATAGGCATTATCAGCGGACATTTCAAACGTAATTTTGGTATGATTCGCAATGGAGGCTGTCAACTGCACGTTATGGTGCAGTGTAAACATGTTGCGGTTCTATTGACGGGTCCCGATACACGTGGAGTTGGATAAATTATTATCAAATATTAATTTCATCGTGTTGATGGTTTGCGTTGACGTTATCCAGCTGGACGGTACATACTAATTTATAAATCGTGAAATTTACATGTTCTGTACTTAAACCTAATGATTTTAATTTAATTTACGATTAAGGAGAGTTTGCGGAATAATATTTACAAGTAGCCACTTCCTTGTGAACAAAAAAGAAAAACCACACTTAAACACCAAGTGATGTTTTAAAGCATAATCATGTTTTTTTAGCTCGTGGCTAACCAAAGCACATTGATGAATATTATAATAAGTTAAACTTCGATAGTCAAGGTTAGTTTATGAATGAGAAAGCAGCAATTAATCCTGGTTGTCTCAAAAAAAAAAAAATCTGTGTGACAAAAATATCACCCAAACACCTGCAACAATATTTAATTAATAGAAAATAAATAGATTCAACACGATTGATATTTCCGACTACAGCATGAAACAAAACACACGATCGTCAGAACTCGAGCTCAACGCGTTTTAAAAGTTTACGTATTCGTTACATGTTCGAAATGTTTTCTATGAAAATTTATTACTTTCCAATCTGCTAACATGGAACTGTTCAAAGTTTCCTCAAAATCGAAGTGAAACTGTAAAAATATAAAACTCTTGTTTACTCTAATCATGTAAACTATTATTGTGTTAGTAAGATATTTATAGGTCGCAGTGGCCCCGAGGTTAAGGTGCCCGCTTCTCATGTATGAGGGTATTGGTTCGAAACCTGGCAAATGTACCAATGTGACTTTTTCCGAATTACATGTACTTTCTATGATTATTTAGACACCACTGACATACGGTGAAAGTAAACATAGTGAGGAACTTGGACTTATAATTTCTAATTATAAGTTTGAAATCGCTAACCCGCATTAAGCAAGCGTGGTGATTAATGCTCAAACCTTCTCCGTGTGAGAAGAGGCTCAGCAGTGGGCATTTATAGGCTGATGATGATGATGAAAATATTTATATGTATAAAATTCAATAAGTACTATACGTATACGTTTTTTTTTTATTCTGAGTAGTCAAAACGCTCACCATTATAAGTCAACTCATCTTAACCTCAACTTCTGAGATAGCGAAACAAAAACTTTAACATATTTAGGACCTTTAATAAATTTCTAACTAATTGGCAAAAGGTAGCTCTACTAAAAATCCATAATGCAACAATATTTCCTTAACAAATATTATAAATTTTATAAACTGATAGTTCCCGACGACAGACAAGCTTTCATCTTTAGGTTCCATCTTAGTTCTCGCAGATAGTTTAAGTTTCATTTGAACACGTATCAGCGACAATCGGCTTATATTTTCTTACAACGTGCTTAGCAGTATGTTGTGAAAGGTTTTCATAAAGTTCAGCCCAGCCGTGGGACTTGGAACACTTGTTGCAATATCGACTGCTGTCTTATATAGGATTATTATGTTGTTCAACTTGCTACAGAACTTGTGTTTTTATGTTCTCAAAGTTAAGTGTTGTTTTTCTATGATTTTAAAATTTCACTGCTCAAGGTTACGTACTGGTCAAAAAGTATTATAATTAATTTATTGTTTAATATATGAAAATGAATTAAAGAAATTTTAAATATAGAAACGGTTTTGGGATTGAGGTCGTAGTAATAAATAATATTTAATACTTTTGTAATAAGCCTTCTAATTAAGCACATGAAGGTTGTGCAAATTTTCCACTAACACAGCTTATTAGAAGCCAGGCATAAAATGAAAACAAAGTCGGCGACTTCCGAAACTTGGTATTTTCGATGTTGAGGAAAATTCATTTTTTCAAAGTTCTATCTGTACCTTATCCAATATATTTTGAAACCAACATGGAATTTGAGTAGATGTCAACTAGCATATTCTGTGCCGCGGTTCCGTGCAAGGTTGGTGTTAAATGGAGATGGGTCCCGTTAATAGGGTGGCCACAGCATCCTCCTGTACAATAAAGCTCACACTCTGCATGACTAATGAGTTTGTGTTAATTATGTCACTGTTCCCTTGTGACGATGTGGAATTTAAAGAGAAGCGGTTTCATTAATTAAACTTCCGCAAAAACAAACCGTTTTTGTTATTAAAACGAAATTGTCGTTGGTATTGGAGCAACGCTATCTTTTCATTTCATACGTCAGCAAACTGTACATTTCCGAAGCGCGTGTATCACCACGGTCCTTTTTTATATCCTTCACCAAACGCAACATCGAAATCATATTTCAGGGCACAATTTACGAGCAAAATGTAAATGGAATTCTGTCATCAGTTCGTGTGTCGTGAACGCGGTGAACCACGGGATTACTTTATTTATCCCATCCCTTTAATCACCTACCTAATTAACTTTTAATCATTGACATATAATCTATAGCGATACACTCGAGATGTTAATTGCAATAAATCACGATCTGTTTACCAGCTCCGACGGCAATGTCCGAAAACCACATACATGGTATATTAGATAATTAGCCATTAGTTTGATTGTCTTAAGGGAAGATAATACTATCATTATGACATTAACTGAAATCGATAATGTTTGACAGGTTTCATTATGAACCTTCCTAAATATAAGCACTTTTGAAAATGGATTTTTTAATTTACACGACCAACTATTTAATTGCCAGGTTGTAGTTATAAACGAAGTTCATTTCGCTATCTGTCCCCACGACGCGCCGCCGGAGACGGAAAAGCGCCACATAACCGTAGTTCTGTTCCATTCATCAATTTCTAATCCGGAGCTCCAGCGACTGGACCACATTCAGCCAGACGTGGTATATATGGATTTGTTGTATAAAATACAGTGCATTCACATTTCAGCACGAACAAGCCTCGTCCGAGTGACGTCTAGACAGCCGTGTAGCGCAGCAGGCGGAGGCGGAGGCGGGAGCGGGCGCGGGCGCGGGCTCGGCCGCACACTACGACACTCGGCGCGCAATTCGTCAAGAGACCGGTCTGCCGTAACTAGAGCTCTGCTACTCTGCCGCAGCTTTTTGTTCACAAGCAAAATAAAGAACACAGAATGCAAAACAAGCGAGCGATACGATACCCTGATACATAGCGAACGTTATTGATAGTGCCTGAAATATGCTCCGTCATTTTGTCTGCAACTGGAACGAGCTACGTTGTTAGTTCAAGACGTATTGTACGAATAAAATCAAATGATTTATTTCTTGAGCATATAATATATATTTCATTTGTTTTGTAAATAAAGCGAGCCAACACCGGTGCTCGAGCAGCACCGCGCGAGTAATAAGGGCGGAGCGCTTATGTGTTTTTAACAAAGTTGCCACTACGGAAATAAAATGAGATTTTAGGAACACATGGTAGCGTTGGCTGTCTGCCACGAGACGGACTTAAAGAAAATTTACTGGCCACAAAAATTTAGCCTCGCTACAACGCGGCACCCCTCCGGGACGCACCGGTTAGATTAAAGTTTTGTTAATATGGAAAGGTTGCTGCGCCGTACGATTTCCCGTGAGATTAAAATGAACACATTTCAGATTTCCGAACTCGACCCAACTTTAAGTAGTTCGACACAATGGTGAGCTGTGATAAGAGCATTCACTGTGGCATGTCCACATACATCACCCAGATCGCTCTAGAACACTTGACATGTGAACCGCTATTTAATTTGACATTTTAGAAAGTTTCATAGCCTTTAGGTAAATAATTATGAAACCACATGTTTTTCAGGTGAATATACATATTAAGTATGTGTAAGTTCGATGTTGAGTAAGATGCAGTGAAACAGGCGGCTGTCAACCATAAAATGCCTACTGATTCCGCGACGGCTTGTTTAATCATGAGTGAAATCCATTACTTACATCAATGCCCGTTAAAGTTATCAAGATCGGCGGTCGTTTTCGAGTCAGTCTTAAGTTACCGAGTGCCAATCAGTATAGTTAGTGGCCGTCTTAGGAGCTCGCAGACAATCTCGGCAAATGGTGCCATTAGCTGAATGCGTAGCAGCTCACGGTCGGGTAACGAGCGGCTTAGCAGCCGAGCCCGCGTTCATTGAACAATTTGAATAATACATGGAAGTTGAAACACTCACCGCGCATCGGGAAAGTTGTCGGGAAAGCCGGCGAGATAACGGCTGCGTTTAAATAACGCGCGCCTGCCTACCCAAGCCATGTTCACGTATTCTCACATCATGTATGAATACTGTTAAACTGGATTAACACCAACATTTTCGAACACTGATGACCCTTGAAATATTTTATACGCAATATATTAAATCAAAGTTTTTTTTATGTGATAGTACGGCAAACGAGCAGACGCTGCTGGTAGTAAGCAATTGGTGCCGCCCATGGACACCCGCAACACCAAAGGAGTTACGAGAGCGTTGCCAGCCTTTTAGGGGTAAGGGAGAAAAGGGATACATTGATTGAACGGCACGGTTACCCGTCCGGACCGTTGTGTGATCCTCAAATTGTTGTTCCAGGTCTGGGTGTGCTGGCGGCTGCATGCGCAGTAATGTACCAAGCTGGATTAGGAGAAGAAACGAGGTGGTTTTTAATGCTCACCCGTTTCAATCAGTAAGAGTCTGTTATTGCCTCTTGCCCCATCTAGGACAAAAGAAGATCTTTTTGGGAGGGGACTACCTCTCAAAAGAAAAGCGTAGGTGTGATGTGATGTGTGAAATTGTTAATAGTAAGACTTAATAATAATTGAATATTTCGTAGACGTCCTTTTCTCATACAACAACAACATATATAAATGCGAAAATCAGCTGACCTGTTTACCATTTACAGACGAAAAACAAAAACCTACCAAGAGATGTAGAAATTGAAAACTAGCAGTCTTTATGAGGCTGCAGCGTGCACCGCCTACTAATGATTAATATGAGTTCGATAAGCTCGGTACAAATGAAGTGACAGAGACAAGGCGATAGTTTTCTCACAGGGGTAATTAATCAAAGGACAGGAGCTGCCGGCTGCCGCTAGACGATAAATCATCCGAGCTGGACTGTAACGAGCGTATCCTCCGAGCTGGAGCGAATTTACCTAGTACTTAACAGCCGCGCCGCAGCCACCTACTTATATTGTGTTTCCTATCGATGCACGTTCATAATTACTCGAAGGATATTGGTATTTCAGTTACTATACTTATTCCATGTGAGACCTGGTTTAAATTTTTGTTCAAACCCTAAAGGTAATGTTTTCATAAACTCTGAATTATGATGAATAACACAAATGGTCATCAAACTCAACTTCCCTGCAGCAACAAATAGTTTCCATGTAAAAATTGTCAAAGTAAAAACTACTCTTTTGACAGTCGAGACTCCTTAGTGAAGCGTCAAGGCATGTCATCACACGCTGTCGCCTGCCTCGTCCCACAATTTCTCGCTCCGGATCTGTTAAAAAGTGTCCGTTGCAAACTAGTTTAATTAACTCACCGGTAATGTTCGGTTTAAACCGACCAACGACCTGGTCGTCCGAGGACTTAAATAAATTAAATTAAAAATTGCCGCAGTGAATGTTAACAAAATGTTTAAAAACACTCTGCGGGTGCACATTTACGAAATATATTACGACCGAGGTCCATCGATTGTCTTTTAGTGTACTGTTATACACTACACTTTATGGGTCAGTGAGGCCCTAGCCGTATTTCATAAAAGTGACAGGCACGACAAGTGCCCCCGGAATAAATAAAAAGCTGGGAATTTGGAACAAAGTTTCAGTGGATGGTTTGCGAACATGTTTTCTGGTTCGCCGACAGTTCCAACCTGTTTTGAAGCACACCATTTTGTGGCCTCCCGTTGTTAATATTTGTTAAATAACAATATATTATATCAGTGCTACGTTTGACTGCTTTGGGTACATGAAAAAGCCCGGGCTAAAAGAAGCGCGTTCTAGATTTTTATTTGTTCGAGTTGTCTGCCACGTGTCGTGTTCTGCCCCTTTTTTAATATTAAATGTGTGTACGTATCTTGCATTTCTTTTGCTGTCTTTAAAACGGTTTCATTGAGTGAAATATTATTATAAGCGTAGGAAAGTTGTTGGTAGTTTTGTATAGATATAGATATAGAAGTATTCGAGTAGTTTGTGTTGAAGAATTCTGGCTGTGTATAATTTTGAGCACATTCCTTTTGAACAGAGGCATATTAGATGTGGTGCAGGTAGTAGGGCTGGCCGTGGATGGGCCGCCGCAGTGCGGCTGACCGCAGCCCGAATGTTGCGCCATACACAGCCTACCATGGCCCCTGAATTCTTTATGTACGACGCACACTTTGTGATATTTGTGTACGTTTTCTCGTATAATTAGACCCTTTGGACCATAGTTTGAGTTGTTCATTAATCATTTACTTTCAAGTTTTTAAATCTATGGCGCATCTTTTGCAATTAAAAAGTATAGAATATAATATCAACTTTTACTTTTATTTCAAAACACGATTATAACGACTTTGAAACCAGATGTATACGAATGTGTAATCGTCACATTTAAAACATATTAAATAATAATACTCTTTGGTTTACTATATTGGTGCACTGGGTTGCATTTGGTTGACTGCACGGTTGGTGCGGTGGCTGGGCAACTGGCTGCCGTGCAACGTGCCGCGGGTTCGATTCTCGCACGGAAAAACACTGTGTGTGATCCATAAATTGTTGTTTCGGGTCTGGGTGTCATGTGTATGTGACATTGTATGTTTGTAAACGCACCCACAACACACGAGAAAATCCTAAAGTGGGGAACCTTTTTATTTAAAAGAAAAGAAAATTGGTAAAAAATAGCTACTAAAATTATTTATATAATTTGAATTTGAAAAACTTCATACTAAACAATTGGCTGCGTAATAACGTAGATTCAGTTTGAGTGTATTACGATTGTGTATAGATAAGGATGTTATGATATATCTATTAATAACACGTGCCGTGGTTGAACCATTGGGCAGGAGAAAATTGACTTCCGTACTGAAATCGAAGGATTGAATTGCCAAGACAATTATTTAAAATGTATGATCAAAAATCAGATAAAATTAACAGTGACGTAATAAAAAAACATAATTTTCAAGTATTAATGGGAGGTAGAATAAAATTTCTAGCAATTTACATAGACTGAGTGAAAGGACTCCTACTTTACGCTGTCGAGAGCTGTTTCATAATTAGTTCATAGCAAGCGCATTTCAAAGTTTCTATAAACGAGAGCTGTGACAGAGTTTTTCCCAGTTACATTAAAACAGTGAGTGGTACTAATTCAATCAAGGTTAGTACTTGCTCCATAAGTTACAATGTTTCGTCCAACTTCGATGAGATTACATCAAAACTTTCTAAATTTTAATCTTAAACTTTGTATTTTTTTTTCTTGGGCATTAATGAGGTTTTAATTGACTGTGACGCTTTTCTGAAAACGGTAGACACAGTAAACAGTCACTGTCTTTTTGATATATTTTTAACGGTGATTTCTATTAAAAGCGCATTTTAGACACATTTATCTGCGCATCTGTTTAGACATATTTATGAGTATATAGTACCTATAGAGTATAAAGAAATTAATTTAAAATTACTTACTATTTTTCTATTCTCTTTCTCATGGGGTGAGGAAACAACTTATTGAATGTTTTTTAAGACAACAAATAAGCAGACGAATTACGTGATGATGAGAAATTGGCGCTACCCATGGACACTCACATCAACATAAAGGTCAAGTGCGTTGTTGGACTTTTGGAGATTAGGATTTCGGAGATTCAGGGATTAGGGGAGGTAAAGGATTGAACCTCACAAAGTGAAATACAACAATGTAGATGTTTACGCCTGTTGTCTGTGAGCCCAACCATTCGTGCACAAGCATGGCCCGCCTACATTTAAATGTTGTGTACCTATCCCAACAAATATGATTATTATCTACGACTGAAAATTTCTAGTAAAAGTCCTATTAATTATTTCTAAACTCCATCCATTGGATGCCTAGAAGTTACAATAAACATACATTTTAACCAGCACTCAACTTCAGGATCATTCTTTAGAAGTCTTCAGCATCCCTGAGGCTCAGGCCTACTTAAAGAAGTTTCTTCTGGCGTGTTAGAAAACGAGTGTATCTAAGAACATGTCAACTGTGATAGGTGGGCGCCATAAAAGGCAGGTGCGCATGAACAAATGGATGAACGATCAGGAACATACTTGTGGCCATTAGTCCGGACTGCGGCTCAGCCCCGAACACGTTGTTGCAGTCGCGCTAAATTATTTACTCCATACGTGCCCTGTTTCAGTTAGCGCTGGTTTGGTTTAAACACAGCCCCGCCGCTCACAACTCAACACTTTGCAAGATAAATGATAAACGGGCTCTAGTTTTTCCAACGCCATTTATGGGCTTCGAGCACTCACTTTAATGGTTTTAGGGGAAAACGATGAGACAACAGAACGGTTTCGCACAAACGTACATAACAAACTTAAGATAATGTGCTGAGTGGAGCTGTGCACCTACTCGTCACACGAGAGAGGTTTTACGGTTTACAAGCGGAAATCGTGAAAATTTTATTGGCGCCGCGGTGTAAGTGAATTTGTTCATCCTAAGAGGAGGTACTGTACACTGCGGGAGCTACACTAGAGTATGATACTCAGATATTATTAATTTACGTCGCTAAAAGATGAAGACTTTTCCAGTCTCATATTGTCGTAGTGCCTTCAAACCGACCGAGATGTTTGCCAAACTCTGCGTGATACTTTGTATAAAGTAACACACATATAATACAATCCACATTATAATTGGTTGAAGATCACAACGAAGCAATAAACATGGCGCATGGCGGTGTAACCGTAACAAATGTCCCCCATTTATTGTCTCCGTGGTTCCCTTTGGCACTAATGAGCCCCAGAATCACATTTTCAACCAAATCGCGGAAATTTCGATAAATGTACACAAATGTAGGCTCTTTGAATATATTCGAGGGCAATTTATCATTTCGTATTGTTTTATGTATACTTTCCTTTATTTTAAATACATTTGGTGTTTGGTACATTCACCAAAAGCTGAGACTGCTTTCAAGGATAGTTGAAAGTCTCAAAGTCACACAACAGCTCTTTTATTTCTTCAGCATTCTTCCAACTCAGTTATATGTATAGAAAACCTAAGTTTTATATTTTTAGGTACTCGTGTGTCGTAGTGTCCTTTTGACTGTTTCACACCTTCATGTAAGTATCCACCCGATAAACTTACACAGCAAAGAGTTTATACAAACTACTTCCTATATAAAAATATCTGATAATAATAGTTTTCCCAAGATTGTGAAACAGGCCCTTAGGTATTGTATCATTACGGATAAAGATTCATATATTCTAATATGTAGTAAGCTGCGTTTTCCCGGCATAAACTTTGCTTTTATTGTGTACCAATAAGGTTAAAATTGAATAGGTTTGAAAAGCTTTTTCAAAACCTACCAACAAGAGAACGTCATTAAATGAAGACTTTAATGAATCAATTCACAATCAGTATCCTCATAAAGTGGTGATCAGAATCAAATCACTCCATCGATTCTAGCAAGAATCAAAACAAATTGTCGCATTCAGTAAAAAATACTTTTTCCTTCCATTTGCTCATAATGAAGCAGCGAATCGGATGCTAGGGAAGACAAAGAAAGCCGCCGTCCGATACGAATTAAGCCGCTGCAATTTATAAAGAATGAAAATTTAATTCAATTTATTACAGGCCGCACCTACTTTCATATAAAATGCACTGGTTTCTGTTTTTGTATACTGATATACATTATATTTCCCTGGTTTCGAGTGACGTGGGATTAAAAATAAATAAGCCGACGCTTTTATGGAGGTTCTACGAATGCTTTATGACGGTTTTATAATTAAAGTGTGCTGTAGTGATGTAGGTAGTGACTGCTTTGTGTGGTATTGCTAGAAAACAATAGAACTCATTCATGTGACGTCTAAAGAAAATACAGAAATGGTGGTAGATACAAAAATGAAAGAAATAACCACGACGCTGCTCATTTTGAAAATCGAAAATACATCTTTAAAAATGTGGTGCGCTATTCCAATCTTGTTTCATTTGCTTTATTTGGGAACATTAAATGGCTGTATTTCCAAGTGCGGATGTATTAAAAATAGTAGCCAATGAAATGAATTCCACCCTCACAGTGTCATCATGAAATATATATCGAGTTGGTTCTGTGAATCGGGCCGGAAACATAGAGTTGCGACAAAACTTTTAAGAACGCAATTAAAAATAAACGCTCGACATGGTTCGAGCGCATTCGTGACGCGCGCGCCGCCCTGCACAACTTCGTAACCTTTTTTAATTTACAATTTTAAAATGATGATACATTTTAATTAATTAGTAATGTATAATCAATTTCATGTTTAATAAAACGCTAATGCTTGAGTTATTTCAAAGAAAATTTTGATGAAAATGACAACCTGCCCATTTTCGATTTTCAATTTGAATAAATAAAATAATTATAATCAACTGATGTCAGATGAAAAATCAAAAGATTTATTAATGACTACATAAGTAATCGTGCGTAGATAATTTATGGAGGAGTCACCGGCCTAACGATATAATTTAGAGCGACCTTCTCGACGCTTGATAAATGAAACTACAGCGGGGAATTTTGCCTTTCGACACATTTATTTTCTCAGACTGGCCCCGCCCCTCCTGACTGCTGTCACAGAGTTATTGTTGCAAAAAGCCAGTCCAGCTAACGACGTACAGGTACCGGGTAGCTTGTTTGATACTGCTGAAAATAATTGTACGTACCAGCGGTTGAGAAAATGCTCACCCGTATCGATATTCGAAGTTCAAATTGGCAAAATACCCACAAAGGGTATCAGTACTGAATATCGTGTTTCATTTTCTTTTGAGAGCTAGCGGTTATTATCGATATGATTCGCTCGAAGTCATTAGCTCCCGGCGAGCGCTCCGTTCTCTCTGAAGTGTTAGCATGACAGCCCACGTCACAGCAAACCTTTGTACTTCCTATTTATTATTATCTCAATATTTTCCAACTTCGTTTTTCTCAGGTCATTGAATAGTTACTAATTCTTTTTCAATTTGAATGATTTAAAGTTCCTAGTTATTTTATAGTACTAAGGCTGGTTTTAGTGTCACGCAGACCGTCAGTACGGATCTCTCCGCACACACCGATCTGTATTAAGCCAAGGGAGCGTTTTAGTGTAATGCAGACGGGTCCGTACGGTCAACCGTCCGCGCGCC